CCAACTCCAGCACACTTTTATATCCCATAGAAGAGTTATATAGAAGCAAGACAGATATATGGACTCATTTGGAACAAGAATTAAAACACCTTGTGAACCACTCAATAAAAATGAAAAATAAAAGCTCCTGTCTACGGCACTTTTTAAGAAATGTTACCTACTTCTTCTCAATAAAGTGGGGAAGTCAGAAGTATATTTGGAGACATTTGTGTGTTTTCTTTTAATTGCAGGTAAAACTACTGGGACATGGACAGTCACTTAACTGGACTTCCTTGGAGAAAAATGGCATTATGGTGGACCTGCCACAGCTAACTATTCATCAGATGCCCTGTCAGTGGGCCTGGGCTCTAAGATTGACTAATGTGATCTAATTTGCATCAGTGGTTTGTGTTGCAGTTACAGCTTAGACTGTAAATTACCAGGTTTCCATATAACTGTAGCACATAGAGAAAGCAAATATAAAGTTGCCAAAATGACCAAGTCATTATTTTATTAGGTAACTCAGCCCTTTCACCTCTCCTCTTACTCCCTACGTTTTCCTCTAAATTAACACATAGCTGTTTTATCTCTCCATTGCACTTTGCCATGTGAGGTCCCTTTGTATTGAATTCATTTCCATGTGTGATTGAGAGGTGGAAATTATTGCTTTGATGTAGCTAAGAATTGGTGGTTTGAAGGACTAAACTGTGCCTCTTGCAAAATTCCTATGTTGAAGCCAATATGATTGTATTTGGATACAGAGACTTTAAAGCAGTAATGGAGGTTAAATGAAGTTAAAAGGGTGGGTTCCCAATCCAATATGACTGGTAGACTTATGAGAAGAGGAAGAGACATCCAAGATGCAAGCACACAGGAAAGACCATGTCAGGACACAGTGAGACGTGTGCCACCTGCAAGCCATGAAAAGGCCTCAAGAGAAACTGAATCTGCCACACCCTGACCCCGGGCTGTCAGCCTCCAGAACTATGAGAAACTACTGTTATTTAAGTCACTTAGCCTCTGGTGCTTTCTTATGGCAACCCTAGTAGACTAACACAGGTGGTATAGATACAATAAATTGGGCTTAACATATATTTACAATGCTTACTTTTTTTTTGGTAAAAAAATCTTTCCTTTTGGTAATAAAACTGATAAATGTTCAGTGTAGATGTTTAAAATTATACAGAAATGCTCAAAATAAAATCACTGTTCAGATTCCTATTACTGTTTTAGTACATATTATTCATATTTTTTTGGGGGGGTGTTTAGGCGTAGGGCCTATTTTTGTAGATGGGCTAATTAGATCTGTTTACTATATTTGCCTTTAAACAAACTGAAGTTGAAAAACTAGTTAAAAATTAGGAAGTCTAGTCAGATCTGCTCTTAAAATGAAGAAAATACTGATGTAAAAGTACTGATTTTCATATAAATTTAAGGAAACACTGATTTAAGAAGTCATCCTCCTCAACAAAAGATGTTTAATAAGGCCAGATTTTTATTTGAAGTACTACAGGTTTGATGTTGTTACAGTAATTAAATGCAAAAATCTTATTTTTTCAAAAACATTTTGAAGAGTGAAATAAAACACAACTCATTTTATTTCCTAAAATCATGCTAAAGTTGAAAATCTTTTTAAAAAATTACTCATGGTTGAAGTTCATGACTGTCATGATTTGAAACCATGCTGATATATTTACATTGATAAATACATCAGTATATTTATTACATGTTTAATAGCATTGAATCCCAATTGACATCTTATTAGAATTCCAAATGTGAACAGATGTGCATGATTCTAAAAACTAAATGAAAAAAAAGTGGGAAAAATCCTCAAACAATACCAAATAAATATTATTAGAGGAAATAATATAAAAAGTAGGGTCATCTATTTGAAGAAAATAATTTTAAGACTAAAACTTGTCAGCCACTTAGATTCCTATTCTGTCCACCTATACTTTGACAATTGAGAATAAAGGAAGAAAAGCAAATATTTCAGCCAATTATAGCTAGATATAGGGTTTATTTAATGAGTAGCTATTGAGGGAGCCAAGTGATAAAATAGAGCTCAACAATTGAAGGTGCTGATAAAACGCTTTGCTAGTAACCAGAAACTGTATGTGAAAAATATGAGACACCTAATTTAAAGTTATATTAAGGCTTATCTTTCATACATGTGAAAAGTACCACAACTGGGTCTCCTAACAAAGATTTAAAAATAGGGGCCTCCCCAGTGGCCTATGGGTTAAATCTCAGTGCTATCACCACAATGGCCTGAGTTCAATCCCTGGCCAGGGAGCTAACACACATGGCGCAGCAGACCTCTCCTGTCTTGCCCACTGCTCCCTTTGCAGTGTATTTCAGTAGATGCACTTGTTCTGCTCCCCACTCTGTCTCTGGTGAATCCTCTCATCCCCTAGGATTCTGGCCTATACCCCAGTTCTATGCATAAATAAAATCTTTAAAATATATAAAAATATACAAAGTTCCTAGAGTTATCATTGGTGTGGAAAACAAGAATTATGGTAAGGCTAGTGAAAAATCAGGTCTCTCATTACCTATTTTAAGCCAATTGTTTTTTATCTCCAATGAATTAACCCTTTTCCCAGAGCTACTAATAGGTAAAAATTGCCTTATTAGAATTTCAGTAACTTGATTTTTCTTTGTGTGACTAATGTTGAAGGTAAACCAAATTAAGTCACTAGATTGAATATCTAGACATTACTAAAATTAAAATTACTAAAGAGGATGAGAGGATTCACCAGAGACAGAATGGGGAGCAGAACAGGTGGATTTACTGAAATACACTGCAAAGGGGAGCAGTGGGCGAGGCAGGAGAGGTCTGCTGTGCCATATGGGTCAGCATCCTGCCCTGGGATCAAACTCAGGCCGTAGCGGTGACAGTGCTGAGACTTAACCCCTAGGCGTCTAGGGTGGTCTCTATCTCATTTTCTTTTGAGTGCCACATTGAAGCAATGCAATTGCCCTAGTCAGGTATTCAAATAAATATGAAGTGGGAAAACAATAAATAAGACAGTTATTTTGTCTTCTCTTAATTTTGATTATGTAAGTAGATCTATCTAGGTAAAAATCCTCCCACCTAATATCCAAACAATTACATACTCATCAAATTTTTATATAAACACACTTAACATATTTATACAGGTTTGAAGGAGAAAAAAGTAGAATTTGTGCTAAGTAATCTCCATTTAAACAACTCACTAGTTTAACTGATGCTATTTTCTTAAAAGAACCAAGTGATCGATGCCAAGGGCAAGCTGTCCTTACTATAGTTCTCAGTTAGGACTGTGTCTGGCACACCCAGCTTCCATTTGCTGCAATATGTTTCCCAAGGGTGAACTGAATTTGTTACTGTAGTGGATTGAATATTCTCCAATTTATGTCCACCAGAAGCTCAGATGGCAATCTTACTTAGAAGTAGTGTCTTTGCAGATGTAGTTAAGTGTTGAAATAAGACTATATTGGACATGAGTAGAAGAGAAAAAATATAGACACACAGGAGAGGCCGTGTGAAGATAGGCACAGATTGGAATGATGCTGCTACAAACCAAGGAACACCAGACTGAGAAGCTGGATGAGTCAAAGAAGGATTCAAAGGCTTTTTCTCCTGGAGTTATCACAGGGAGCAGGGCCCTGTTGACAACTTGAGCTCTGAATGATAAATTATTTCTGTTGCTAACCAACCAGTTAGTGGTAATTAGTCATGGCAGCTCTAGGAAATGAATACTTACTAAACAAATGGATCATGACAGTTGAACTTTTTAATCATGATTATATAAAACTTGGTAACACGAGTGTGAAGAGTTGTAGTTTCTGTGAAAGTCGAGTACTTAGGAAAGATTTTTCTTTAAGAGGTATTGGTTAATTGTGGGCAAAACAGTTCTTGTAGGTTGGGGACAATACAGTAAAAATGTGCAAGAATTTTGTAGGCCTGGCTCACAACTATATCCTGTCATACATGTGATTTGTACAAGATAGGTTATTAGAGAATGTTTAGAAATGGACCTGTAGAGAAAATATGGGAAAGGCCTGGTTCCTACATTAAATAATTCATGAAGAATATATCAAATTTTTAAAAGCCAAAATATTGAAGAACGTATGTGCTATGTATTATGTGACATCTCTTTATTGGCTTAGTCTGTATCTGGTCCAGCAGCAGCCCCCAGCCATGTGTTATTTTTATTATTTCCTGCTATCAGTGCCTTTTTTGGATTAATCAAACAACTAAGGGTACCAGACAAGAGGGTTCTTCCTGCACTATTGAAAGGCACATTTGCATATCTAAGTACAGTTAGCTTCAAATACATGTAGTTTTTACCTTGTCATCTCTTCAATTGCCACAACTTCTCCAGATGTAGATGATTTCAAGTAATAATTTTCAGTTGATCAGCTTTATATCCTTACATATCCATGCCTGTTCACCTCGAATTTTCCCTGGATGAAATCCTGGGTTAACATTGCTGAAAGAGATGCATGCCCTATTACACACACACACATTTGCTAATTTTTCAAAATGCAGTTTTTCTGTCACCCTATTAGAAATAACATCATTATATTCCATTAGACTTTAGGAAGAAGCATTTGCCCCTTCTACCTTTACATTTGTTTTGTTAGTTTTTAAGAGACATTCTAGATACAGACCCCCTAAGCAGTTGCTTTGAGACTCGCCTAAACTTAGAAGAGATCTTACAGCTCATTTTCTACCTTCTATTATTTAGCTATAAGTTATGTTGGAGGAACATAAAATGATGTCACTGAAAACATTTTGATTCTGATGATACATATTGATTCAATTATTTCTGCCCGAAATATCCTTATAAATACAGAACTATAGGGGACAATGCAATTTTTCTTTTTTAGATGAAAACGCCATTTATTTTTTCTGAACAAACGTTCAGAGAAAGCATCAATTATGAGTTAAATAAAATGAAAATTAGCATATCCTCTCCAAATAACAGCAAAAATGCTATGGGACAAATAAATTAATGGCTGTAATATATTAACTCAACAAAACCACATTTTACCAAAATATTTTATTGCAATAAGGTATTCAGTGTGCTCAAAATCAATACAAACGAAGTTATTAAAATTATTTACAAACAAATGAAAGTATGTAATTAATAACAGTAAGTATAAGTAAACAGCATCAACACAATTTTACCTCGAAATCAAACTGTAATTTTCTAAAGCTTGTTAACAACAGTAGATAAAAATTGCTGATCATGATTGTTAAGTTGTTAAATTCACGTTTCCATAAAAAAGAAAATTCCTTCATCAAGCTATATTTGAAATAAATAATTTATTCTTATAAAGAGTAATTGGAGAAAGTCTGATTCATTCCCATATATTGCAGTCCAGTGAACTTTAGGATTAAATAGCATATTTTCCAAACTTCTCACCTAACCCCAAGATTTTTCACTCAGTATTAATATGAAAGTATACTGCATTTCATATTGTATTAAAAAAAATCTACATTAGTTTCTAGATAACTTGGAACTACTATTCATGGTGTGACACATTATTAATAGTTCAGTATTTGCACTGTGTAAACACAAATATACCCACAAACCTAGTTTGTGGATGACTTAAAAAAATATATTAAGATGTAAATTAAATCTTTTATTATGAAATGAAGACTTTGATTAAGAATATATTTTTTATTAGGCATTTTGGTAACAAATCATTACCCTATATATAGTTGGTTTATTCAGTGTATTTTTTTAAGTAAATAAATTCCACTGTGGCTTTTCTCGAAGAAAAAATCACTTCTCTAGTTGTTGGGGAGTACTAAAAGCCTCGTACACATTAGCAGCAAAGTCTTTCACCTGTTCCATCATCAGCAGATCCTAGCAAAAATGACAACAAAACATTATAATTTGTAAAAAGTATAATTTAAATCCATTTCTGTAATCAACCAGTGAATTTACTTCTACAATTTTTGAGAACAAGTCTTAAAAAGAAAACCAATTAATGCGAGGAATACCGTTTCTTACAATAAATTCCAGGAGATAGTGGCTAAGTTCTTATATGAAGGATGGTGTTCTCTCTTAAGTATCAGAAAATTCAAGTGAGCACGAGGCTTGTCTTGATTTCAACAAATTTATGGTTAAATTCTCTTAAGACCACTAGATATTTTACCTCACAGACACACACTCTTATTTACTCTAGTGGTGCACTCTATCACACACTATACGTGGTTTCAGGTTTTCCATTTCTCTGAATAAGTATCACCGGAGAGAAATGTAGTTTTATACTAGACACACAGCACATCCCAAAATACAAACTTTTTAATAATGCCCCCAAACTTTCTTCTTACCTGAACAAAATGACTAGGTGTTTCACTGCAAACTGAATGGATCTGTCCATTTACTATGGGGATTATCTTAGCTAAAGGCAGGCTCACACTGGAAAGACTGAAAAATTATCATAGTAATAATTATTTTCTGAAATTATCTTACAGGAATTTAACATTTTAATTATAAAGGTAACAGTCACTGAAAATACTGATCGAATGAAAAAAAAAACCATACATAGTTCTACCACCTAAAATAAAAACTATAAATATATGATAATTTCTTCCAGTAATTTTTATACACATCTATGTTTTTGTGTATTTTTTTAACATAAAACCATCACATCTGAGGCAACAATGCTCTGCATTTTTATTCATATATGCATTTCCCCATCTCATTAAAAGTTCTTCCAAAGGTTTTGCTTTTTTAAATTTTTAAAAAAATTTTTAATGAAGTGCCATTATTTATATTCTTGTTAAATTTTTCACAACATAGGATTTCACTACTCAGGTGTTAATGAGTACATAGTAATCCATCATCTGGCAACCAGCTTCTTAGAATTGTGAATTTAAGTTTATGTCTAATTCTCTTCAAAGCATTGTGTAAACATGGAATTGCTGCATCAAAGGGCATGGATGTTTTTGCCAAATGCATACTGCTTCTCCAGCAGTGGGGAGAATACCTGCTCCATCATGTTTTCTTTCTGTATCAAGCTTTATCTGTATGTCTGATAGCTGAAACTGGGATCTCACAGTTTTAATCTGTATTTCTCTAAATTAGTAGCAATGTTAAATGTTTTTTTCCCTACTCAGTGAACTGTACCACTATCTATTTGGCAGTGTGAGCCAAAATCCTGGGCATCATCATTGGTACTTCCTTCTCCTACCTATACTATAATCCTCCACAATCCCAAGTATTTCTTCTATGGGTCTAGGTAAACAATATCTCCTGTGTGGTGTACAGCAATAACCTTCAAACCAGTAAGTGCTCCATAAGCATTTGCTGAAATAATAAATAGTATGTGTGATTAAGTATGATGTAATGATTATTAAATGATGAAACTAATTTTTGTGAGTAGGACATAGATTTAGGTTTATTGCATTAAATATTATGTTTCACAATATATAATTACTTAATATATCATACACATAATTTTCTTGTAAACATCATGAAAACATTGAGACTATGGTGGGTGTCTAATGAGTGTGCTTTGCTGTGCTTTGAGGCAAATGAAAAACAATGCCTTTACAAAATTGGTGAGGAAGTCAGGCACTATTTTCTATCACGACATCTTTGTAGCATGTTTTCAAAATCTGACATGATTTTGTTTACTTGTTTGATGTCTCTTTTTGTATTAAGAGTTTTAAAAAAAATTGAAGACACACTATCATAAAAGTCTGGGACATCAGGTGCATATCTATCTTAGTGTATTATCCCAGCACTTTAGTAAGAGCGGAGCACAGTGCATGCTCAATATATGAATCAATTAATAATTAAGTCTTCATCCATTGCTATGTCCCCAACTTTCACTGTCCTAATTACTTCTCCACAAAGCAATCAAAGCGACCCTACAATGTATATCCCACCATGCCACTCTCCTAGCATTCTCAAGCTGATATCCATCTTCTTATCTGCTGCATCCTCCAATTTCACCTCACACCTTTTTTTTCCCTAGTTCTACCCATTCAGCTACCACATCGATCTTCTTCCAGGTCCTCAAGTGTATCTTAGCTTTCCTGTCTTCAAAGTTTTCACCATGGGACTTCTGCCTTGAATGTCAACTGCTTCATTCTAGTCCAAGGCTATATTTAATTGTGGCTCATCTTTTAGTTCTCAAATTGTTTTCTCAGGGAAACTGCTTAATGTTTCCTACATTTGTAAAAATACTTCTCTATAAATTTCAGTGTTCTTTCCCATTTTACATAGTTTTTACAATTATGCTTATTGTCTACATCTCTTCCTAGATTATTAGAGCCACAAGGACAGAGGCCTGTAAAGTGCCTGATACATAGCAGGTGCCAATAAGTAGATGTGACTTGAATGGACAAACTAGTGATTTCTGTCTGTTCTTCTGTGAATTATCTGTATGTGTTATGACTATTTCTTTCTTCAGGTGTTTGCTTTACTGACGTGTATAATGCTCTCTGTATATAAATGTATATAAATCTCTCTGCATGCCATTTTAGTTTGCAAACATTTCCCCAAATATAACATTTGCATTTAATATTGATTATATAAGAGCTAATAACGCTAGTCTATGAGTTTTAAATTTTACAGCCAAACTTATTATTTTTCTTTATATAAAGTTCTTTACCTTTATTTTTAGATTTTCTTCATTAGATTACATAAATACTTACATTGTTTTCTATCAGTTCATTTATGTTTTTATTGCTGAAACCTCCTGGATATATAATATATATGTATATATGGTATACATATGTATATACAGTCTATACATATAGTTATGTGGTATATATATGGATATATGGTACATATATAATATATATGTATATATGGCAAGGCTCTAAATTTATTATTATTGTTTTGCAATTAGTCATTACAAAATGACTAATTATGTCTTATCATCATTTACTAATTTATCTCTCCATCATCTTCTTTATAAGCTAATAGCCTATATATTTTGAGAAACTTTCTGGGTTTTATATCCTAGTCTATTGGGGAGTAATGTATTATCCTAGTTAGCTGCATCTTATATGTTCTATAGGGAAAGCACATTCATTGCTACTTTTTCAATAATTTCTTGAATATTCTCAGCCCTCTACTCCTTCAGATCACTTTTACTATCAATTTTTTCATGATCAAAAATAAAGCAACCACTTTGACTACATTTATAGATTAGTATCTTTACAATTTTCAGTTGATTCTCTTAAGTTTTTAAGCACAAAATCATGTTATCTCACATAGTATTAACTTTTTCTCTTTCCTGAACTGATGCTAATTTCTGAAGATAAGAATTTAACTTAAAAAAATCACTGTCAACTAATAGCTCATGGGAATAATAAAGATGTTAAATAAGTTGTCTATTTGCAAGATATATAAAAATAAATGGTTTTCCTAAATTTGGTTCTCAAAATTAATCTTTACTAACCTCTGCATTGGTTACCATAATAGAATGAATAATGCTGAATAATTATGTCAATAGTGACCATCTTTATGTCATTGATTTTTATGTCATTGATTTTAATGGAAATCACCTAGTGTTTACCATTAAATGTATTTTCTTTTAGTTTCTTATAATCTATTATTGTATAAAAAAGTATTTTTTATTTCTTGAAGACAGTTATCCATAAGAAATGCTAAATTTGCTAGCAGTTTGACCTCAAGTTATTTACTTTTTCTCTTAGAAAATACTAGTGTTTCCTAGAGCTATTTTAAAAATTCATTGAGACAACATTATAAGAAATAGTTATCATACTGCACATGGAATAAGGAAGTCTTGGTTGCATTATTGTTGCTATAAATTTCTGGATTTCATTTGCTTATATTTTACTTAGGAATGTTACATGTGTAGTCACACTTTAAGTCTGTATAGTTTTCCTTCTAAGTCCCAGCTTTATCCATTATATTTTCTGTTGGGTTATTACTGGTGATAGGAAAGTTTTTGATTATAAAATATATATTATATATATATCAATACATATACATTTTATATGCATGTTATATATAGTAGACACATGAATATACACACTTACAAATGCACTTACATAATTGGAGCTTTTAATAGTTTGCGTTACTTTTCAGTTGATTTTCTAGAGGTTCTAGATTAACTGCAATACACATAATTAGTGATATTTTGTCTCTTTGCCAATGTTAAAAGTCTTTTTTCTTGACTTATTGTGATGACAGTGCTTCCGTGATGTGGTCAACAACAGGAAAGACAACAGGTATGATAGAAATATTCCTAGTATTGGATCAGGTAGTATGAAGTTGGTTATTGACATGAAAAAGATAGGAAATATCACTAAATGCCAAGACTGTGTAATGAAGTTTGAATGGACACAAGAGAATCTCTGATTTTGAGAGGAGTAATGTAAATGTAAAGCAAATAAAGAATAACTGAGGAGTAAGTCTCCACTTCAAGGTGGCACATGTGGCTCACACATGAAAGTACAGATAATGAGTACTAGAGGAGCTCAGAAAAGGAAAACTTACAGTAGGGTTGATATGTCCGCAAAGTAATTTTTATTTTTATAATTTTACTGTGTGTAAGATCAAATATTTGTTCATGTTTAAAACATGATGACACAATTATTATAACTCGTTATTACTATTCAGGAAGTAACTAATACCTTGCTAGATAAAAATTATGTTGAAATTTTATTATTTGGACAACCTTGATTTAGGGAGTATAAAAGGGGGTGAAATTTATTTTGGTATAATTTGAAGAATTGACAAAAAAGATCTTAGGATATTTAAAATGTTTCAGAAAATAAACTTCATGGCTTTTAGCATCCCACATACTCAAAGTTTGTTGCAAATTACTCTTTTTTATAAAATAAAGAAAGGTCCCAGAAAATTGGGGAAATAATCTCTTGCCCTATGTATTAAAGAATTAAATTGGATATTACACATACATACTGCATATCAATTACTGTTTCTACTAATTTTAATGGATGAGTTTATAGTCAATTAACACTGATTTAGTATCTTATTTTCAGAGTTTAATGTAAAAAACCTACAAAACTGAGATCCTTAAAGAGTGTAAATTCTAGTATGAGATCAAAAGTGCTGATGTTGACATGATAAGGATATATATAATAAACCATAAGATATGTTTTGACAGCATGAATCCATGACTTACGATCATGGATTTTGATCAAACAGTTAAGATCAAAATTACTAACAACTACACTAAATAAATAATCCCAATCCTATAATAAAAGGTGAAAATGAACACATTTATATAGTTGTAGAACTACGAGATGATTTATAATGGGAATCTTCAACAAAAGTGCCTTATTGTTACAATTACCAAAGTATTGTATTATGTAGGCCACTTATGGCTTACAGTACATAATTAATAAGAAAACACATTAAAACAAATACATTGTCAGTTTTTTGTTTCTAAAAAGTTAAAAAACTAATAGCTGCAATTTGGCCTACAGATAGGTATTTTCACAATGTAAGTACTTTAAATAGTGGCAAAATTTTTGGAAGAAATATGAGCTTTAATATTAAATACAGAAGGAGCTTCTACTAATGATGGGATGACTGGATTAACAGTTTAATTTGTTGAAAAATAAGCATTCAAATTTTATTCACTAAGATTTACCTGGAACAAAAAATAAACACACCTAAAACACTATTTTTTTTTAAACACTCATTAGATGGGTGACATTTTTATTATGTCATCTTACCTGTTCATGGAGTCACCATGTTGCAGGTCCTGTTCAGTAGGTCGAAAGAACTCAGCCATATTGTCTAGTAGTCTACTAAAACCTCGGTTTAAACAGGTATTCAAAACTGTACTAAAATCTGGACTACACAAAACAAGAAATATGTTACTTTATAGATTCTCAATGAAAAAGGAATTAAATTCAGTAACTATGTGGTTACCTTTGATATATATTCCTAGTCACAATCTAGTTTTCAGTCTAAAACACAGTAAGTATATCGAGTCAATCCTTAATAATTAAACATAAAAAGTTAGCTTATTTTATTTAGCACAACAAAATGAAGATATTTCTTTTGCTAGATTTTCTTACATTAGTATGCTATACAATATTTCTTAAAGTATCAACATTACTTTTCTTGAAGAAAATTCTATAGTCATAGATTATGGTTTGTTTTGTATGCCTATTATGACATTCCAGTGAGATAGAAAATTTTATTATCACATACAGATGAGGAACTGGATACTTGAGGGATGAAGAAATTTGTCCAAAGATATGTAGTTAATAAGCAGGCAGTTAAAATTTGAAACCAGGTCTTTTTGAACTTAACTTTCAAGCTCTTTTCACTGTACTATATTAGTATTTCATAAAAACATTTTTGATACAAAGAATAATGTATTGTGCTGTGAAAGAAATAAGCCTCATTTAACAAAAAATTAGTTTTATCATCACACATAGAAATTCTCAATCCAGATCAACTCATGGGAGTGAAGAGCTAGGTCTATACATTTGAGACTTACTAGTAATTAAAACAATGGATGTGTTTAAAATTGCATGGAGCAATTGAGGATGAAATAAGAACAAATATCTGGAAAATACTAATGTTTAAAGGAAAGACAGAGATAGAGAAACTTAAGAAGAAATGATCTGAGAATTGTTAGAAAAATTAGGAAATTACACTGTCATGAGAGCCATATGAAAAAATAATTTCTAGAAAGGCCTGATCAATAGTGTCAATTATCAGAGAAAGGTTAATTAATATGAACTTTATAGGCTGAGCAGATTTGGCAAAAGATCAGTGTGATCTTTCCTAGAGCTTTATGGAGTGATTTGGTGGAAATCTGAATAAGAAAGAAAGGTAGAGATTGCTACTAGAACTTGATAAATGCACACAGTAGATTCAGTAGCTGAGTTAACCCAATAATTTGCTGATTTTCTCAAAATCATGAAAAAAGTATAGGCTGAAGACATCACTGCCTCAAAATACAGAAAGAAAGAAAATGGGTTTAAATATCTTTGATTTAAAAGGTATTTATGGTTGTCTTTGAAAGCACAGTTTGCATAATTTGGTGCTTTTTTCCATTTTTAAGATCTCTTCTGGGTAATTAAAAATAGTATACTCAGTTTAGGAAAGGTGAAATTTTTTTTTTTTTTTTTTTTGGTGGGACCCTTGCAGGCGGCTGGGGAATGAACAGGCACTGCAGAGGCTGCAGGAAGCCTCTCAACCCAGCGCTCAACCGCTGCACCACCAGGGGAGGCCTAGGAAAGGTGAAATTTTTAACATTCAAAGTTTTAGGAACATTATAGTCTATCTTAAAAGGGTTAGGGGAAGTATTCCTCAAAATCATGTGTGTACACATTAGCAGCAATGTGTAGGTATGTACACATGAGGGGTAGCTGGAGCTCGCTCAGAGCATCTCTTCCCAACTCAGCACTGAGTGGCTTCAATTTGGTGGTCAGATTAGTTATGACTGCAATTTCAGTTTTTGATTTTTTTTTAAATAGACCTGATTAAGAACCATTTACTAGTATGTGTGGATATAACAGAATCATCGTCAAAAGGTTTTTTTCAAAATATAAATGTTAACTATCTAGTTTCCAGCCCCTCAACAACTATATCAGAGTCTCTAGAGTAGGCATTGTCATCTTAAAAAAAAAAAAAAAAACCCAAAAACCTGCTTCCTTTCTTTCTCTAATAAGAAAACCACTATTTTGGATAGGAAGGCAGGTAAGTAGATTTAAAATTTAATTTCAATAAAACAAGGTTCTGAATATGTTGTTCAAGAATAACTACAAAACGGTCATAAGTATATAAAAGCAGAAACACATAGTTTTTGTTATGTGTAATATACATACCTTTCTAACATGTCTCTAGTTTCATTGAGCAGTTTAATAGTAGTAATATCTCTAGGAGAAAGCCCACAGGCCTGTAAAATTGAAATGCCATATTTCAGGGTTTCAAATATTAGCAAGAGATCAGGAAATTTAGTCTGTTCTAGCAACAGTCAAAAAAAAGGTCAAACTCACAAAGAACCTGTAAAGGCTCATTTGTGTAGGTAAATAATATTTTAAACATGAGCAAAGTACAATTATACTTTGTAAGGTCTTTATTTACCTCCTACTCTTGGGACTCATTTCTCATCACTGATTTACCTCAAAAATCAAATGTGATTAAAATGTAATTTATTTGTCTGCAAATGAAGGTTCAGATTCCATCTTGGCATACAAAGCTCTTTATGATCTTGCATCAACCCTCAGCTCTACTTTCTATTACATGATCTCTTGCAAATACGCTCAGGCCAAGTGAACTCCTGAATTCATCTCCTGAGCTTTCCAAGTGTGCTGAACATGTCGTACTCCTACTATATCCCAGGCATACATTGTAGTATCACATAACTAAGACTCAAAAAAATTTGCTGATTATCTAAAATTATAAATGTTTTGCAGTAGAAATCATCTATATTTACAGTTGTGTTTCTAAATTAATGAGGCTTTTTTAAAATTACTGGAAATATATGCTTTCATTCACTTACCTTTTCAAGAGATTCAGAAATCTAAATTTTAAGAGATAGTACAAAAGAAATTTAAAAACAGAGTAACTGGTTTGGTTAAATGGTTATGTAATTAATCACCTGAGCTGCTAATGGGGTTTCTTCATCTGGCATCATATAATGGCATAACAAAGATTTGGATTCATCTTTATTAACCCAAGAAGAAGACTGATGCTGCTCCACGAGGTTTCTTATTTCTTTTAGTTTTTGCTCCAGGTCCAAAAGGGATAAAGAGTATTTAAGAGAAACACTAGAAGCAGAGAAGGGTGAACTGGGATAAATGGAAACTATACAACATATCCTATACACACTCTTATCAGATTACCATCTGAGATCCTGTTTCATCTAGTCAAACCTGAAACTGCTACCTGTGAAATCACTAGCATAGATTAAGAAATCAGCTACCAGTTAGGGCCCTTATTATAAAGTGAAGAAAAATCTTGTAGCAGATTTCACAAGAAATTCCCACTGCAATTATATCACTAGCATAAACAGGAGATAAGAACTTTAGAGGCAGATGTAGGCTTTTTATATGATTATCCAAATATTTCTGGTTTGTTTAGCAATCAATCAATAAACAGTGAAATATTAAAACTTTTCCTTTAGTATCAAGTGGTTGATACTGAAGAAGAAAGTGGATTCCACAAAGCAATACTACCCTCCCGACCTACCCTCCCACCCAAAAGGCTTTGTAAAGTGTATCAGGTCACAAAGAATTTTACAGACCTCCATTAGTCAAGTCACTAGTTTCAGTAGAATACTTCTTACTTTCTTTCATTTATCAGAATCAGGAAGTAAAAAAGCAGCCAAAGCAAAATGCCTTACCTTCCTAAAATCTTCTGCACAGCTTGTTTAATGACGGTGATTAGTTCTGTGAGACCTGTGAAAAGAAAAACAAACATAAAAGCTTGTTCACTGTTCGAATTCCCCAATAATATAAATGAATGAATGAAAATTAGTCTACAGGTCAGAAATAAGAATCTTACCATCTCCAAGGAGGTGTTGAATACTTGATAAATATTGCTGTTGGACATCTGGGGGAGCAAGAGTTGTCTGTACAAAATAGAAAAAAGGTAAAATTATTCAATATTAGTAGTAAATTAATAGTATTTTCAGTATAACATGAGCTGAGATTTTTCAGGACCTGGAGTGACAGGTAAAATAATATTCTTTAATATAACAAAAGGCCTAGTTTCAAACCATGAAAAATAAAATGCTAAGGGGTTCTAGTCACATGAAATACAAAGATACTGATTTCATAGATATCATCTCAATAAATCATATTTAATTTCAAGCCTCTTGAAAGAAAAGGCAATACCTATTTAAGCCTATTAAAACTTACGGTGCCATTTTTGCCAACTGCTGCATTATCCAGGTAAATATAGCCACCAATTATGTTTAACTGGACTCGCAAAAGAACAACCAGCATACAAGTACTATATACAGCTACGATACTTCTTGTGAAACCTTCACAGAGAAAAAGAAAGCCATTTGGTATTATTAAAACAGAAACAAGAGTGTAAAATCATGAATCATCCCTATGATTTTTCATATGATGACTTTAAAGGTACAATTATAACTATTTTCAGTACAAAAACATATCAATTCAAACTATTTTACATTTTAGCTCCTTAAAACTTGTTTAATGTAAATTAGCTATGAACTCTTTATTGAAACAATAACCAATATATTGAGTGAAATGTTTTATATTATCAGCTTAGAAAGCAAAACAGGAGAGTACTGGGAAGAGTGGTAGTCTCAGAACTCGGAGATGTCCAGGAAGCAGCTCAAGATAAGAGAAGAGGGCTGGGGATGGACAAATTTAGTTTCAAGGACAGATAAAGAAGGATAAGTCCATTAAAGGGCTGGAAGAAGGTATAAAAAGATAGAATAATACCTATCAGAGTGGAGGTGTTTACTATTGATGGGAGGTTTAGTAGGAACAGAATGTCCAGTGGATTTAGCAATCCAGAAGTTATTAATGCTTGTGAGAGACACAGGAATGAAGTGGAGACACAGGAATGAAGCCAGTCTGTAGTGTGTAAAAGAACGTGTGGGAGTGAGTAAGAGAAGAAAGGAATGTAGAAATCTCTGGTACTAAATATAAGGGGCGTGAGAAAGTACAATAGCTGAAAGGAAATACAGAGTACTAGAAAAGTTTCATTTATTTTATTTTTTTTTTTTAATTTTTTTTTTATTTTTTTTTAATTTTCTAGAGGCATGTCTTATTTATCTATTTGTTTGTTTGTTTTGGTTTATACATGCACTGGGTACAGTCAGAAGCCGGGAGGGCGAGAGAATTCACCAGAGCCAGAGCGGGAGCAGAGCAGGCAGAAGGACCGAAGTACACTGCTGAGGGAGCAGCGGGCGGCAGGAGAGGTCTGCGCGCCATGTGGACCTCCTCTGGTGGCCGGGAGCAGCCGGATCGAACCGGCGCCGCAGAGGCCGCGGGCAGCTTCGCAACCCAGCGCTCAACCGCTGCACCACCTGGGAGGCCCAGTTTCATTTATTTTAGATAGGCAAAGCTTAAGCATGATTCAGCTGATAAGGATTAATTGAAAGAACAGGAAAACAGGACAACTGATAATATGAAATTCTGAGATGTATATCTATATCTATCCATCCATCCATCCACCCATCCATTCACCTCTTTATACATAGCCCAGGACAGCTCTTTGTTTCAAATTTTTATCTCTAATCAAAGTTTGCATATAATATCAAAGTACAGTTACTATCTGGGTTGGAGTGAAAACTGTCTTTAACGCATATTACAGATACCAGTAACTAATAAAGACATATGAAGTTACAAGTAATCATAATAATACTACCACCATGACCTCCAATTACTAAGTGCTTTCTATAATCAGACATTGATCTACTTGTTTTTTGAGAATGATTTAATCCTAATGACACTATGAGGTGGATAAAGAAGAGTGATCTACATAATGGAGTACAAACATTTCTTCATAAATATTTTAAGAATGTGCTGTTAACAGACTATGTAGGCTTACTTATTATCTTCAGATCTTCCCATATCTCTAGTTTGTTTGAAGGCCTAAAGAAAAGAATATCAGAAAATATACAAATAATAACTAGGTAATCAAATAGAAAACTTTGAATTTATAGCTCTATATTTAGTAATAGATTACAGCAAAAAACAAAGGTCACAAAATAAAGTAAAAAACAAAATCATAATTTCATTAATTAATGATTACAATCATCTCCACTAGTATATCTGTATAAATCTTTGCAGTCTTCTTCTCCCTCTGGGCACATGCACATATGTATTATAAAATCACTAGGAAAAGAAGGAAAAATATTTATTTCTTCCCCATATTTACTGTTTTCCAAATAAGGCAGGTTGTATAATGCTTCTAAGATAAATTAGGAAATATTTTTTGTTTTCAAGTATGATTATAAATCCCTGAGTTGAAATATACATTTGCTGTGTTTCAACCAGCCATGGTTATTATTCTTATCGATGTTCAAATTGCTCATCTTTGACCACTGGGGGACTATAGAGGTTGGCTCCTGGGTTCTTTTGACATGTCTATTAGTCTTTAATAGTTTCCTTACTTTCTGACAAACAAAAAGCTGTCCGGTTTCATCTTGGTCAATTCCTTTTTTTTTTTTTTAAATTTATTTATTTATGCATACAAGAACTGGGGTACAGTCCAGATATGTGGTGGGTGAGAGGATTCACCAGAGACAGAGTGGGGAACAGAACAGGCATATAGACTGAAATATACTGCTGAGGGGAGCAGCGGGCGAGTCAGGAGAGGTCTGCTGCACCATGTGGGTTGCTCCCTGGCAGGTGGGGGGAATCGAACTCATGCTGTAGTGGCTGCGGAAAGCTTCACAGGTTGCGTCTTAACCCCTTGTGCCTCCAGGGAGACCCTCATCTTGTTCAATTCTTGCTGCAGAAGTTAATTACCCATTTCTTAAAGAGTCCTGGTTCTTTTAGTGGGCGGAAGGAGGAACCCTAAACTTTGTACACTCCAAATGGGTTCTACTACCTACCTATGTGAAAGAACCTTTTTTTGTTTGTTTTCTTTCTTATTTTCAATCTGTCACTTGTAAAATAGACTGAAAATTACTAGAAAAATCAAATTAAAAAACACAAAGAAATTACAAGCCCATCGTCTTTATTATCAAACTCAGATATAAATCTGTATTTCAATAAGAAGTTGAATTACCATTACAATTGTACAGTATGACTAGTTTTATCTTTCTTTGCTCCTGAACAGACTACACAGCTTTAGTTATCCTTTCTTAGATGAAGCAGGTTCAGAAGATAAGTGGTTAAGGTATCACTGAAAACTTAAGCTAAGGCTCAAGTTTCAGTGGAATGCCATATTTATTGATTAAATTAGGAATCAATTACAATTTAACAGTTAGATATTTTAATGCAAGTAAACCACATTTTCTGAATGCAACCTCAGAAAAATTCCAAAATCATTCTTATAGAAATTCTAAATTAAGAAAGATAAAAATATTATTGGTCACAAAAATTTCAATATAGGAAGGGCTTGGCAGTAGCAATCTATGGAAGGGTAAGTTACGGTACTTTTGTTGAAACTGCATTTTATTTGGGGTTACTTTGTTCGGTGGTGACAGTGTTAAAGTCATCCAAGACATTTCTTCATGTTAACGTTCTCCATTATTAGGCCTTAAAGGTAGATTTCAACTTAAGTTCTAATATACAGCATGGTGAGTACAGTTAATAATAATACATTTTATACTTCAAATTTCTGAAGAGATATTAAGTGTTCTTTATATATTAAATGTTTCAACTACAATGGCTGCAACTGCATTGGACATGTACAGATTTTTGGGTCATTATTCCCTAAATAATATAGCCCCATCAACTATGTACATAGAGTTCATATTATATTCAGTAGTATAAGGGAGGATGTGTGGAGATTATATGCAAATACAACATCTTTATACAAGAGTCTGAGCATACTCAGATTTTGCTATGGCCAGGGACCTTGTAATCAATCCCTCGAGATATGGATGGATGGATACTGCACTAAGAAAACAAAATTACACCTTTTTTTAAAAGCTGCCCAGGATTACCCATCAAAATTAATCCCTTTCTTCTCCTGCCTCCCATATTTTCTCACCACATTTTGCTTTTGCTTTTTACCATAGACTAAACATAATATGTGTTTATAATTTATTTAATCTGCTTCCTCCTTTATATGGTAAGGTCTAAATTATCTTAATTACTTTGATTTCCCCAAAGCACAGGGAACATTGGGCATTCCTGGAAACATATTTATTGTATTTGTTATTATATTGCTTTTATAAACATGCTGTTCTCTTATCTCATTTGTCATGCTTCCCCAATAAGCCTAAAATGCAAGGTAATTAAAATCTACTTATTTTCTATCCCCTACTTATGGACATACAGGTGGTAATTCTGTATTTGAGAGGAATCTACTCATATATTTATTCTTCACATTATTATAAGAAGGAATACTTAACTTAAATTTTGTATCTGTAAATAACAGTAAAAGTGTAGCAACTTTTAAGAATGATTAAATTTAGGGGAATAAAGCCTTATCACAAGCATTATACTTTAATTAGATTTTAAAAAAAATCTCAAGTATACATATCCATTATTATTTTCGGATGTAATCTTTGAATAAAGAATATGTTTTTAAAGAAAATTTCCAGTTTGTTACTTAACCTGTCTGAGCACTACTGTCCTGATGTCTTACTTGCATAATGGAGATGATAATATCTAGCTCACGATTGACACTATGAGAACTGGGAATATATATATGAAAGGTACTTAGCATTTGTCCCAGCAGAGACACACTCTAGAAATAACACTTCCTTCACTCTGGTTATTGGAAGGTGACTACAAGGAAAACAAGTGGTTTAGTAAAGAAAATAATTAGAATTTATTTAGTGAATGCACCCTTTTCCCCATCCTGTTAAGTATAATGGGAAGCCATTTCCTTCTGAAGTCTTTCCAAAAACTAAAATTAAAATTAAAACATACTAAGTAACAATACCCCAATCCACGCTACACTCCATATACAAGGTCATATGTGTGAAAGTGCTGTGTACACAGTAAACTATCAAGGTAAGTAGATTATCATTTCAGAATGGTCATGTTAGATTTCTATTTCATTTTGTTAATATAAAATGCAAGTTCATATGCCTTATTTATTTGAAATGTATGTTCATGGGCTTTATTTACTATATTGTAAACTCTTCAAGAAGCATAGTTAACATAACTTTGTCAGCTTTACAACATCTGATTTATAAACACATTCCACAAGCGCTCAAGAACTATATTTCTTAGTACCATCAAAGCAATATAAGATCTATTTATATGAAAGCCAGAATACATACAAATATTACCTTAGATTCTTTGTGCATAAGATAGAACATTAAAAAATGTATAAAATAAAACATGAATTGAGTGATATAGCTGGTAAATATTTTTTCTATATGAGCCTATATAAGATATAATTAGAAAGAAAATAAGGAAATAAAGTGCATTCCATAAACTTTTAGTGTAGTGTGTAAATAAAAATGTTGTAACTTGTATTTACCTGTTTTTTAGCAGGGCTGTGAGGCTTTCAGAATTGAGTTGCTGCATTAGGGCCTCTCTGAGTGTTGGAAGCATGGAGAGCACTATGAAATAAAGAAAATAAAAAGGTTATGAGCTGACTTGACATCCCTCACTTAGAAATGCCATTGTTTTAGAATTGGTTACAGGACTAGCATCTTGCAGGGGTGGGAGGGAAGTTCACAGTGAGCGTTTTCATGTTACTACTATTAATAATAATAATAAACAATTATATACTAATACATCCTTTATCTGTTTATGTTAAGTCAACAAAAATTATACATATACTATGATCATGCCAATATAACAATTACACAAGTCTACTTCCTTCCTGGCTAGTTGAAGACAGCATTCAGGTCTTTCTTTAGCTGTCTGGGGTCCATGATAAACTTCCCCACAAATCACAGGATGACACCTTCACCAGCCTTGAATCTGTGAATCTGGCAAGTCTCTGTGCCTCAGTTTACTCATGTAAACTGAGGACAACACAGAGTTTACCTTATAGGATTGTTGTTAAGGTTTGAGACATACATTAGAACACTGTTTCTTTGTACATGGAAATGTTCAGGAAGCATTAGCTCTTAGTATTATCATTATTACCCTTTCACATTCCCGTTTGTAAGTAAACATGTCAGAAAGCTGATTTGGGAAGCTTTTCAGTGAACTTGTATTTTGGCTCCTTGTGATCACCATATTTTATATTTAATTGCCAGAAATAGCTACTTATTTACCTAGGGTTGTGCCACTCATGTCTTTATCTGGGAAGAGATCAACCAAGTGACAGCTCAGCTGCCTCTCCCCATGATTGGAGAGATTGCACTGATCTTGGCAGTGACAGTACTCAGTGGGGATGCTGAAGCAGGCCCATTCCTGTGGTATTCCTCTACCAGGCAACTTTGGTATGAGGGCTGCCCACTGACTACCAAACTTTTAAAACTATGTTGTAGACTCAACCAAGAAATGTGTTGAGACTCCTCCTACCTAGTCTTCCTTCTTCCTTTTCATTCAAGTCAGAGCTGCTCTGTGGCCCAAAAGCTTTTTGTGCCCACTTATGCTCCCTCCATTTTATTCTTCATAGGTCCCCCAACCCTCCTTAAGGTTTGTGCACCTCTAATGCTCTCTGAGCATTTGCTTTGCAGAGGACCCAAATGACACAATGGCTTATGTCAAACTGAGATAAATTTTGAAATCCCACGAGCTACCTTTCTGTTTTCTGGAAATCCAAATAATAATCCTAAAAATGGGCTACTTTTAGTCTCAAAAAATTCATGATCATGTCCTCATAGCACCATTACACTGATACTAAATACCAATTTAAATAATTACATAATTTCTGAGAAGTCACTATTGACTGTTATGCATTAAGTATTTTATATCTACCATTTTATCAAATTTTCATGAAACATTTGCAAATTGGGTTTATGACATTCATTTTATGGAGGAGGAAAAATGAAATTTAGATTTTCTTAAGATGTACAGATAATACATGAGGTAAAACTGGGAATTGAACCAGACCTCCTCATCTTGAGCCTGTGATCTTATTCACTGTCTTATCCCAGCTGTCATTTTATGCAGCTATTTATGATTACTTATTTGCTTTATCGAATGAAGGTAGCTTTCCAAGTATTATTCTTTTTTTTTTTTTATAGAGGCATGCTTTATTTATTTATTTATTTGTTTGTTTGTTTTGTTTATACATGCACTGGGTACAGTCAGAAGCGCGGGAGGGTGAGAGAATTCACCAGAGCCAGAGCGGGGAGCAGAGCAGGCAGAAGGACCGAAGTACACTGCTGAGGGGAGCAGCGGGCGGCAGAGAGGTCTGCGCGCCATGTGGGACCCTCCTCCAGTGGCCGGGGAGCAGCCGGGGATCGAACCGGCGCCACAGAGGCTGCGGGCAGCTTCACAACCCAGTGCTCAACCGCTGCGCCACCGGGGAGGCCCACCAAGTATTATTCTTTCCCATGTTAAAAACCATACTCCAAATGTAACTCTGCATGTGTTTTCTTAACCTTAATGTCAACTTTTTTATTTGTTAAATGGGTTGAACTAAAAATAAATTCCTTTCAACTGAAGAAAATTCTACATTTAAAACTGGACAAAGAGAACCTACTTTTATAAATTCTTTCTAAATTAATTGTTATTGAAAGGAATGTTAGATAAAGGATTAAGGTTTAAACAGTAAAAAAAGGAAAACAGGTTACACATAGATTTGAGAACTAATTCTTCAAGGAATTATGCCAATTACAACATAACACCTTATTCCCTTCAAATAGGGGACCCTGTTAGCAGCTTGCTAGCTCTGGAGGCTAAATGATCACCAAGAGTTAACATCAACTGAGTGTATATTATTGTGTTAAACTTACAGATATGTAGTTGCCTACTATATATTTAACAAACTTAAGGCTCTTTATGACTTCAAGGGATAATCCCACTTCTAGTGGGATTAGGTCTGACCCAGCAACTTTACTTCCTATTATTCTTCTGTTGTTCATTTTGCTCTAGTTACACACATAACCTTTTGGCTACTTCCTGAAGGTGACAAATTCATTCTGCCCCAGGCATTTTTCATAGCAGCCTCCTCCACTGTTGAATCTCCTCCCGTGTGACCTCTTCAAAGAGGCCTGGCGTCTTAAAGAGCATCACCACCCTTCACACAGTTTTACTCTTATGGCAAGTAGTCACTGCTGAAAGTTATTTGACTTGTCATTTACCATCTTTTTCTCTTACTAACATATAAATTCTAAGAGTCAGGGTTTTTTTTTTTTTTTTTTTTTTTTATAGAGGCATGTTCCATTTATTTATTTGTCTGCTTGTTTGTTTGTTTTGTTTATGCATGCACTGGGTAGTCAGAAGCGCGGGAGGGTGAGAGAATTCATCAGAGCCAAAGCGGGGAGCAGAGCAGGCAGAAGGACCGAAGTACACTGCTGAGGGGAGCAGCGGGCGGCAGGAGAGGTCTGCACGCCATGTGGGACCCTCCTCCGGTGACCGGGGAGCAGCCGGGGATCGAACCGGCGTCGCAAAGGTTGCGGGCAGCTTCGCAACCCAGCGCTCAACCGCTGCGCCACCGGGGAGGCCCAAGAGTCAGGGTTTTTAATTGGTCACCTTTTGTTTTCTTAGTGCTGGGTACCTCAAGTATTTGCAGAATATATAAATAAAATGAACAAATATTTATATTGTATATTGATGTGTAGGATATTTAAAATTCACTTTAAATAAGGTATTTCAGTTAAATCATATCAATATTTGCTGGATTTATCTTTCTTTGCCTTCACCTCTCAATTTTGGTTCTGGAGTTATGCAAATTAATACAAACCATCAAATAACTTCATATACATAAAATAATAATTTTAACAACAAATAATTTAAATATTTTAATAATTATTTTAATAATAATCATTATTTATAAATAAATATTTCTGTTTGCATTACCTGTCATATTGCAAGTCCTTTGATTACTTTCAAATGATATTGTCGTCGTGCTTGGGCAATGTATTCTGCTGCCTCTCTTTCCTGAATTTCTCTGATTTTCTTCTGTCCATATTTTCCCAGGATATATACGCCTAAAATCATTTTAAAAAACAAGCTAGTATATTAATCCAATTAATTATATATTAACATTCCAAGTAATGATTTTAATCTACTTTATCTGAATATAAGGGTAATATCAATGAAAAACTAAAAATTAAAACATTTAAAAACCTAAATTGAGAATTGCATAAGAGCTGTCACATAAAAAATATAAGGTGATAAAAAAAAAATTGTGAACTAAAGAGAAGGAAAAGGAGACTGACATTTTAACAGCAATGACAGATAGGCACGTAAGGAGTAGATTTGAAGAATTAGAAGGCATCACAATGCCTTCCATAGTGAATTGGAGATATTCTAAATGTCCAATAGGGAACTGTTTAAGGAAATGATGGTCCAGCCATACAATGGAATCTTAGGTGTTGCAAATCATATTGCTAAATAGTTAACGACGAAAGGAAATCCCAACCTTATATTGTTAGATAAGAAAATAAGATCCCAGAAGTTTTGCTTTCCAATTTAGATACACAGAAAAAACAGGATTTTAATTTCTAACATATAATAAATAGTGATCATAGTGGAATAGCAGGCTTATTTTTTCTTGTTTGCTTTTCATATTTTCAGCTTTCAATAAACATAAAAAACCTAAAAAATATGTAAGATAAATTTTTTAAAAAGAATGAAAGAAAGGAAGGTAGTCAGGCAGACATCTGAAACTATAATTAAAGTGGAAGTGGGGGGGATGCAGGCACAGAAGTTTCCTAAATTATAACACTGTAGAAATATAGATGAGGTAATGTGGCCTGTGATTTACTTTCAGCATAGACAGGACAATATAAATGTGCATATTTTGGTCTATACCAGGTAAACACTTCAGAAGCATTAGTTAAGTTGGCTTTAGAGCAAAAGCCACACTCCAAGCACTTCAACTCACTTTTTCTAGCATCATGAATATCAAAAATGGATTTTCACAGGTGATGTTAATGGTGTTTAAGATAATTAATATTTTAGTAATGTTCACATGAACAGGTCTATATGAACATTGCAATTCCTTTATGTTCCAGAATGGCTCAACTTTGGATTCTCAGCTAGTAGGTCAGAGGATTCTTAGTCAAGGAAGTTACCCAAGGGAGTCAGCCAGCAGAATCCTACAGCTAGTTTACTGCTACATTTGCTTCCAATAAATCTTTATGATTGGCTTTGTTGTATCACAAAAAGAGGACAGAACACTGGAACTTCAATGAGCTTATCAAACAGATTATCACACTATTTTAACTATGCTTGCTAACAGCTATTTTTATGTGTTGCAGAGTATATTTTATTATAACTTGACAACAAGTTTGTAGGGGAATAACTAATCATCACCAACCTCCAACCACCTCACAGCCAAAAAGAACCTAAGAATGATTAGATTTGTATTACCTAAATGATTAGAGTTGGCTTTTTACAAGGGGGAATGGGTAGCCTTTTAGAACCTGCAAACACATCCTGAATTATTTTAATCAACACAGGCACTGTAGATGAAGTGATGGCATATTAAATACTCTTAAAAATAATAGCTCAGTAAAAGGTCATGCACTACAAATAATTACATAGAAATAAAGTATAATTATTGTTGCTATGTTTGTATGCAAATAAATGCATTATACTCACATTTAAAGAACAAATAAAAGTTCATACAAGTGGTTTCATAGCTACTTTTTTTGTTAATACATCCTCAATAACTGATAATGCCACAATATCAATCGGATAAAGAAACTGACTTTTACGAAGTAACCCATGGACAGGCCCCACTAACATAGCAACTTTTAAAATGAATAGCTGGTATTTTATTTGCACAACAGATTCTAAAACTTCTGTGTAAAATGATTATTCTTTCTCAAATTATATGGTAAAATGAAACATGACATAATGCTTTTTGAGAGCTGGGAATTTTCTCTGTAACTGCACATTTAATTTATGTATTTGTATATGTATTTTCCTGGGGAGAAGGTTCACTACTTTCATGAATTTTTTTAATTATAAATTTTATTTTTATATTCCCCATACAATTGCAACCCCCTTATTTTGACCCCAATCCCTCCCCTCCCTGCC